TTAGATGTACATTTTGCTTCTGTAAATCTGTCTAATCACTTATTTTAATTTTATTTCTAGTTTATATACTTATACATTAGTAATTAATTTTACACTACATGTTTAATACTTTTTATATATTATTATATTATTATTTTTCTTTCTGTTAATACATGTGTACTATTTGAGAGAGAGAGAGAGAGAGAGATCTCACATCACAAACCAGCTTCATCACTGTGTCTGTCACGCGACTCTGTTCCCCTTTCGGCTCTGTCTTTACATTTATTTTGAAAGATGAAGCTCGCGATTATGGTAAGGGGTGCTACAATTCCGATGAGTGCTTGCGGTGTTCGGCCAATCACAATGCACTGGGTCAGCTGGCCAATCAGAGCAGACTGCGCTTGTCGGAAGGAGGGACTTTGTAGAAAACTAAGCGTTTGAGAGAGGCGGAGCATAGAGGACCAACAATAATGTACAGTATTTGAAAAATAATGTGTTTTTTTTAACATTAAAGCTTGTCAACATATTCTGTTACACCAAATACACAAAATAATGATCTTTTAAAAAGCATCATATGACCCCTTTAAATAAATTCAGTTGTAATTAAAATTTTCTAAAAAAAAAATAAAAAAAACTCAGCTTCTCCTCTAAACCATAGGGAGCCCTTTTACATTACTATAAGGTTACAGTTAACAACAGAGCCCAAACTTAAATTCAATTACTAATTATTTTTAACAATATTAATTAACATTCAAGGCCCTGGAAAGTTTTTGAAAATAAGCATACATAGATACAGGTCCTTGAAAGTGCTTGAATTTATTTTGTGCAAGATGTTTTCTGGGGAAAAACCCATATGTTTCGCCAACACTTCGTGGCCTATGCATATTAACTTTCTTGATTTACCTTATTTACGTGCATTTACGGGTTACGTTAAGTGTTTCCCGCGTGAGGTACTTTGTGTTGTACGTTGCCATGATGTTCACGCAGGGCTCCAGACTGCCACTAAAAATATTAATTTGTGAGTTAAGTTTTTGTTGAGGTCGCCATTGGAGACTATATAGCCTATATTTACATGTTATGACAAAGATTTGCATGTGATGCCTTTTCCTGATTGTTTTGCGATCGCATCATTTGCTATGTTCACGTATTAAACTGAGACGATGCTGGTTTTAGTGGAAAAAAGAGTTTCAAACAGTCCTCATCTCTGCAGCACAGCAGCATTGTCACACACCTGATTAACGCAGCTCAGTAGTTGTGCAAGTAAAAGTGCACAAAAGCAGATTCTGTTTTGTGCACAACTTGAACAAACTACAACAGGTAAAGCTGTCGCCTGTTTGGATATTGGCAATATCGTTAACAATTCTCATTTATAATCATTACTAATATGGCTTCTTATCAAGATCGTCTATATGCTGTGTTCTGTTAATGCATGAACTTCATATTATTTGAAGCACACTTGCCGTCCATTAATCGCAAAAAGCTTTGTTACTTTTTAATAAACAAACGTTATCAGCTTTAAAATTATGCCAAATTCATAATTAAAGGCGCGATCGCTTTAGCGCCTCAGTTCAAGCGGCAAGTGAACGCATTATATCTTTCTCTTTACTACTATAGTACATAATGAACATGAATTAACATCAAAACATAGCCTATTTTATAAGAAAGCCTACAGTACAACTTACTGAAATGTCTCGTGTAAAACCTCATTCAGTGTTTCAAACTGCGAAAAAGTGTAAAGCTTGTAAACATTGCAACGTAATAATACATTTACCTCAGAATAACCATTCGGTGTCCATAAGCTAATCAGTCAGCTAGAAAAATAACTATAAAGAAGAGCATTTTGCTATATTTATGCGCTATCGGATGCTAGTATTTTTACTTAACCTGTTGTCTACATGATTCAACTTCTCCTACAAAATTGCATTTTACTAATGAAGAAAAACAGACTGAATGCGTGAAAGACATATGACAACATTTATAGGATACACTGAGGAGCCCAAACTATACTCAGTGGCCAAGTGATGCTTATGGTCCATGATATTTGTACAGATTCTGTGTCATGAACAGTTCTTTGTGACTATATATTTCAAGTTGGAAAAGACGTTAAGTTCCCACTTTAAGTGAACCTTAATTCCCAGGTCATCTACAAGATCAATTAAAATGCTGATATATTCAAGAAAAGATGAGACATAAACGCATGAAAGTATGATTGAAATGTTAAAAAGTAATAATAAAATAAATAAAACACGTTTATTCTGTGGCGTCTAAAAAATTTTCTAATAGGAGCCAATGGCCTACTTATTTTTTTGTTTGGAGCCCTGTCAACCATGCACGAAACTACTACGATGACACCTCAACGTTTCTCAAACACACACACACTGTTAAACATTGCAAAAAATAGGCTGAAACCGCTGAAACGTGATGCCTGGAAAATGCCAGTTTCAAGATATTTGGCTCACCAAAGATGATTACAAAGAATGGCTTGCCAGAGATGAAAACTGTAACCATGTATCTTACAAGGTAACACCATGTAACCTTGCTCTCACGTGAAATGTGTCCCCGCATTAACAGGGTGGCCGCAGGTTCTTAAAAAATCTTAA